TATTATAGTATAAATTATATAAATTCTCTTGAATTATTAAATATAAAAAGAATTCAATAAGAAATGCAATAAATCAAATAAAATAATAATAAAATGAAAATATATTTTATTGAATTAAAATAAAATAATATTTAAAAAAAGACATGCTGACAATACATTTACATAAATAAAAGTTTATTATGTTATATTATATTTTATATATATAATTATACATACGCTGCCTTCGATAAATGCAGACCTATCATGACGCAATCCAATCGATGTATCCAAGAATGATCACCGGGAGAAAAACCAACAAAATATCCAGAATACACAAAAAATCATTGAACTTTCCATTCGAACGGAATCGTGAATGAAAATTAAATGAAAATTTATAAGTTCTAAATCTTCTTCAAAGCAAAATTAACAAAACTCTATTTTCGGCATATTAAAATATAAATACAAAAGTGGTACTTCAAAAAAATCTCCACTGCTACAAACTAGACGCGCACCACCCGCCGACCACAACACAACTGACTAGACTGGTTATTCTAATTTCCGCCCACGATCCTCCCTTAGAAAGAGAAAAAGTTCTAAAAGAAAGAAAGAGATACTGAAAAGAAAGAGATATGAAAAGAAACTTAGAGGTAGAAAAAGATAAAAGAAGACAGAGGGAGCCACGTGGTGAAATAAAATAAGAAATAGTGATGGCTTTAAACATCGATATTTATTGTTAACAATTTTTTGTAGTGCAATTTCTACTACAAAAAATAATGCTTCATGAAATGTAAGATTAAATGTACTATGTTCATTAATAGTAATGTTATCATTAACAACAGGTATATATAAGAAAATTTTAATATAATTTCATAATTTAATTAACTTATCATTTTAACATAATATAAATAATATAAATAAAATATTAAAATTAAATAAATAATTTATTATAGTTTATATATCAAATTTTATATTTATTTTTTATAAAATAATATTTTTTATACATATTTTAAATTTTATACATATTTTATATTTTTTTAAAATTTTTATTTAAATAATCTGAATATAATATTATTATTAAATACATAATTTATTATTAATATTTATAATTAATTTTAATTAATTTTAATTAATGATTATATTATTATTTATTATTTTTATATTTATGCTTTTCTTAAATATTTAAATTAAAGAAAATTTAAAGTGTAAAATATATCAATAAAATCATTTATGGATGTAATAAAAAATTAAAATAATAAGAATAATATTTAAAAAATATAATAAATATAAAAATATAAAAAATTTATTAATAATAATATATAATAATTATTAATACTAATTTTAATTTAAATTTAATTTTCTTAATTATAACCAGTATAGTTTATCTATCAATATTTAATTTTTTATACATATCAATATTAAATTAAATTATAAGTTAAAAAATAAATAATAAATGCCAAATTTATTAAAAATCATTATATTATAAACCATATTTATAAAAAAAATTAATTTATTTTTATTTATTACAAAAAAATTTTCTATCTTTGCGCCATCTTGAATTGCTGAGTAATTAGCTTCTAAGAAAATAGTAACAACCTAGTTATGAAAACAGAAACTAGAATAAAACAGAATATCGGTAGGATATTTGTTTTAAAATAGAATTTTTTAATAAACCAAATATTAATTTTATTTCAAATAATGTTTGTTACTTTTTATTATTAAAAAGACTTAATAATTCGATTGTTAATTATTATGAAATTTTATTTAGTTTTATTAATAAACTTTTAATCAATATATCATAATTTTAAATTATTTATATATTTATTAACACATTTTATTATTGTAGAATTCAATATCGCATAATATAAAAATAGAAGAATTCTAACCTTAAAACTCATTATTCTTGTCATCATAATAAAATACATGAAAATTATTTATAATTTATTAAGAAAATTACTAACATAGTATGTTTTCATGCTTAGTTTTATTTATAATTTTTATTAAAGTAAATATAATTTATTAAAAGTTAATTTAATATAATTTTTAAATTAAAAAAAATTAGTAAAAATTTTTAATATTTTAATAAATTAAATTTATTATTAAATATTATAATTTAATATTTTAATATATAAAATATATTTTCAGATTCCTCTAAGGAGGTATCGACAAAACAAGCAATTTTAACAGTTAGCGTGGTCTTTATCACCTCTTTATCAGCATTACTTTATGTATATACTACTTTTCCAGAACTTACAGAGTAAGAAATAATCATAATAATGTTGATAAAAAGAAGAAACATTTAAATTCATTATATTTCAGAGATGAACAACAGCATATGAAATTACCATTAGATCTTGAAGAAGCTAAAAATTTGGGTAAACTTCTTGGACGATATAGAGATCTTTATTATTTTCAAGTGCTAATTGGATTATTTCTTACATATATTTTGTATCCTTCAATATGAAGTCTATAATTTTAAAATATATATAATAAAATAATAATATATCATTTTTATATAAGTAATTTTCTAATTTACATATAATATATTATTCATAATTATTTTAAAATCTCATATAATTATTGAAAAAAATAATTCATAAAATAGTCCTTAACATAGATTTAGTTTACAAACTTTTGCTATTCCAGGTTCTATTTTCCTTTCAATCCTTTCTGGTTTTCTTTTTCCTTTTCCTTTAGCTTTATTATTAGTATGCAGTTGCAGTGCAGTAGGAGCATCACTTTGCTATCTTCTTTCATCACTTTTGGGACGTAGATTGCTTTTTAAATATTTCCCAGAAAAAGCAAGAGAATGGACATTAACAGTAAAAAAACACAAAGATAATCTTTTTAATTACATGCTATTTCTTCGAATAACTCCATTACTTCCAAATTGGTTTATAAATCTAGCCAGTCCTATAATTGGAGTGCCTCTTGCACCATTTACTGTAGGCACATTTTTTGGAGTTGTTCCACCATCTTTTATTGCCATTCAAGCAGGTCAGACATTACAAAACTTAACTTTATCTACTGGCTGGTCATGGAAAAGTATTATAATATTATGTGTATTTGCTGTATTATCATTAGTGCCTATTTTATTTAAACAAAAGATACAACAAAAGTTTGATTAAATTTTAGGAAAGAAATTCAAAAAATTTATTTAATTAAAAAATGATATGATTATTTATTTTTTAATACTTGAAATAGTAAAAAAAAAATTAGTCAAAATATGAAATATAAAAAAATATTATTTTCAACATGATTTATATTATTTAAAAAAAGTTTATTTCCTAGAAATAAAATTTTACATTTTTAATATTTTCATTTATGTAATTATATAAAACTTTAAATATTTATTTAAGAGATTTCTTACTTTTCTTGTAATTGTAACATCTTATATCAATTCTTACACTATTTTTTTATTTTTTTTGTATAGTATCAATTATTATAATTTTTTTTGTGTAGTATCAATTGTTTGTAATTAATAAATTATAATTTTGAAAAATAAGCACAAATTTAAATTATTATATTATAAATATTAATTAATAAATATTATATTATTTTATTTATAAAATTTTTTATAAAATCAATTATTTAGAAAATTGTTCAAAAGAAATGAAAAAAAAATAAAAATTAATATAATGACAGTTTTTAATAAAAATATAATAAAATATAATTATAAAAAATTAATTTAATGTGAAAAAATAATTCAGCAAAATGAAGTCATATAACTAATGGTAATACTAGTTGAATTTAAAGCTGGAAGGCTGATTGGCCGCCAATACCACCAATTATACCATACTGAAAAAAAATATTTCACCAGTAATTTATTTAAGTATTAATTATTGTATATGAAATTCAAATAAAAATTAATTTAAATTAAATTTGAATAAATTTATATTAACGTAATATTAAAAATAAAATAAAAGTTACAAACATAAATTAATTTTTTTAGCTAATTTTAAGTCAAAGTTAAAAAATTAAAATACTTACAAGTTTTTCCAGCAGATAATAATACTGTAAAAGATTTACAAGATGTAATACATTCCGGACTTGCTATCATTTTTATCAATCTTGTACCAGTTGTACATCTTATCATTACATTACTACATTCAGGATTTGGCTAAAATTTTTTAGAAATTGTATTAAAAAAATTTTCTATATATTTACTCTATATATATTATATTATTCTAATATAACATATTTTTAAATTCTGTTATTAATTAATATATTGAAATATATTTTAATATATTTATTATATTTCACTATATGTTCAAAAATCATAAAACATCTTCCATTCTTAATAAATAAAATTTCAATATACAATGAAGAATATATGTACTTAAAATTTCATATATTTTTTTTTAATATATTGGTATAATTTATATATTTCATATCATAAAATATTAAGTTCAGTAGTTTTATATTTTTTATATTTTTTAATTTATATCAGTTTTGAATTAAATGTAAATTGATTTATAATTTATGAACAAATTATATGCAATATAAATTGAAGAATTTATTTTACTATAATTTATTTTACATACTTTAAATAGTATGAATTTTTCTTTATTAATTTTTTTTCTTATTTTTTATTTCTTATAAAACAATATTTTGCACAACAAAAAATTTTTTATAAAATATCTTACTAAAGAATAGGATGGAGATTTTGGTTCATCAAAAAAAATAAATCTTTCTGTACTTTGTTCCCACCAATTTGGTGTATCTATAGGTTTTGGAAATAATTTTCTTAAAATTCTTCCTGCTCTCATACGATTAATTCTCCACAAAATATGATTATTTAAATTTTTAGAAAGATTTAAATCCATCTTTTTTTCCATAATATCTCGAATATTTCTAAAATAATGTACTTTTTATTTAAAAACTACTTGTACTATTTTTGTTTATATATATTTTTTATATATATATTTGTTCAATACCTGTAAGTCATATTGTTAGATAATATTTTCATAGCATCTTTTTCAAATATTTCTGAATATTGCCATAATAATTGTTGTACATTTTCCATATGAACTAGAGAATAATTTTCTGTTTTTATATAAGGAATTCCTGGATTAAATGATCTAGATATGTGGTGACCACTTAGATCTGGTATAAAATGTATAACGCTACAAGGCCAACAATCCATATCATTTATATAAAAATATGGATTTTCTAATATGCACCATTCATCATATAATTCTAAAAAACAAAAATATACAAATAATAAAAAAAATGTTATTCAAAACACTTATTTCTAATATAAATTTATTATTATATTGAAATAAGTTTAAAAAATGAACACTGATTTTTAATATTTAAATTATTTTATTAAATATTTTTTAATAAAGTACATTTAATATATTCATAAAAATTATTAAAAATTAATTATATAAAAAATTGATTTTTACAACACGCTATAAAAAATAATATAGAATTAAATATAAAAAATCAATTGAAATCTAAACATATATTAAAATTATAAAGTTTATTAATGAAATATATTTAACAGAAAGCTATAATACTAACATACCAGATAAAGAAGGATAATGTTGAATTATTGGTATTGCAATTTTTCTTAATAATTTTAAACCTGGATAAATAGAATTCTGCAAATTCCTCAATAACACTACTGCTAAGATCTTTTTATCAAAAAATATAAAACATATAACTATTATACATAATATTATAACCATACTTTTTATAACAATATGGAAATTAATTTTTTTGTTTTTTTTTTCAAGAATATAAAAAGAATTTTGTAAAATTCTATTGATTTCAGTTTCTGTAATACCATTTTCACGTGCACATTGATAAATCTTTTCTAATTCCTTTTTATATTCTTCTAAATGAACCATTTTTCAAAAACAAATTAAAAATAATAAATGATAAAGTATAATGATAAAGTATTTGCAACTATTTATTGAAATTTAAAATAAATATGTATATTTATATATTTATATATAATGCAATTCATAAACTATATTATTTGCAAAACTTTAATGATATAATTCACTACTAATATTTATGTTACGCATTACGTTTTTACACCATTAAAAAACAAATTTATAGATCTGCACTAATCTGTAGATTTATTATTAAATTCGATTTAAATTCAATTACACATTTTAAAAATACAATATTATCTATTTATGAATTATCTATGATATAAAAATATATTTATAATAAAAAAATAATATATTATAATAATATACTATTTTATTAAATAAATAATATAATATAATTGCTATTAATATAATATGCATGATGTTCATTTAAAAAATCCAAATATGCAAATATCTCAAAAACATTATTTCATCATATCATAAACGATATTTTGAAAAAAATATCAAGTAAAAAAATTTCAAAAATTTTAAGAAAGAAATACATTCTATTTATTTTTGATTTATTAAATATTGATAAAAACATTTCTTTATTTGATAAAAACTTATATTTGCAGATTATTCTGCAGAAAAAAAGAAGAAATTCTTTATTAAATTATTTAACATTTGTTGTAAAAATATTTGCATATAAAATTTTTAAATGAACATTTTATATATTATAATAATACAATATATAAATATATAATAACATAATAATAACTCTATAATGTAATAAATATAAATATTAATATATGCTACAAGTTATATAAATATAATATTTATTAAATATAAAATATAAAAATATAATATATATATCAATTATTATTATTTTTTAATAAAAAAATTTAGAATATATAAATTTAATTGCACAAATTTATATAACAGATTAGAAAAGTATAAGTTAAATATATAACAAATAAATATGTAAGCATTGTGTTTATCAAAATAATTCAACTTTTCACCACTCACTATCATTTTATAATAAATATAAAAAAATAAAATAATAAGAGCAATATAAAAATAGCTAGATTTTTATTATATATATATATTACATATATGTTATTTATTATATACATTATATTTAAATATCAATGTACTTTATTTTAACTACATTATATCATTACAGATATAATTTGAATCACTTATTTATTTATTAGATTTAGAAGTTTCTTTATTATCTAAATATAATTTTTTATATAATTTTTCATATTCTACTTTAAGTTTTTCTCTTTGACCAAAATATTTTGGATATTGAGCTTTTTCAATTGGATCCCAAAAATCAAGCACAGCATCGGGTGGTTCAACAAAACGCCCATGAACTATTCCACCTGGACTATCAGGAAACTTATATGGATCCCAATGACATTTTTTAAATAATTCTTCTTCGCCTTCCAATAGTAATTTTTTTGCAATACGAGCATCTGGTATATGTCGATTTTTTTCAAAACGTTGTCTTAATAAAACTGCTTTATATCTAAATTAAAATAATCCATATTATATATATAATAATAACTTCTAATTATAATAATACATTCATGAGATTTTCTATATATTCAATAATTATATATTAAATCTTAAATAATTAGAATTATATAATAATAATTAAATATTTGAAGAAGTTTAAAATATAAATTTAACAATCCTTATTAGTCCTTTTATTAATCTTTAAAGCTATTATTGAAAAAAATTTTATAAAAACAGCTCTTGAAATAAAATTTCATTCATAATAGCATTCAAAAGTTAAAGTAATAATAATAATTTATTAATTATTATATTTTTAAAGTTAAAGTAATAATTATAATTTATTAATGTCTTTTATATATCAATATAAATTTTACATAAATAAAAATTTAATAATGATAAAAAAAATATAAAAATTATTTAAAATAAATAATCAAGACAAGACTTACATCAGTGCAATAATATGTTTATAAGAAAAACATATTTAATAATATATGATCGATATTATTAAAAATTAATTAACTCTATATATATATATATATATAAAAAATAATTTTTTTATTATTATATTTAACTTAAAAATTTTTACCTATATTCATGTCTTCTATAATTAAAACTTTCTAATGTACGTAAAGCACGTTTGTAAAGACTACAAACTTTTCTAGTATGACTTATTAATCCTGATGGTAATTCAGCCATTTTCTTTTTAAGTCAATTTAAAAGTCAAAATTTATTTTTATATATTATTTAAGTTTTAAGATTACTTAACCAGTATTGGAATAAACTATCATAGTCATAAACTATAAGAAATTAAACTAGATAGGAGTATAAAATCATAAAAATTATGATAAATAATTTAAAAATTATTTTGAATTAATAACATTTTTATATAATTTATTATTATATAATAAATTAATATATTATATAATAAATTACAATATAACAATAATTCTTATGAAATAATTATATGTATAAAACTTTTTAAATTATAATAAAAATATGCGTTATGTACACATTTATTTCTTTTATTTTTTGATTATTTTTTTAATTTTTTTAATGTAATATATATAATTTATTTTAAATTTATGTAATAATATCATGTATGGTTTTTTTAAATTTGTTAAATATTAAATAACATTAATAACATATTATTTTATATAATGAAAAATACATATATTTGAAATAAAATTATATATTAAAGCAAAAGGCAAGAAAGTTAAAATAATTATAAAATTGAAATAATATATAATTTAAGATAGAAAAATATAACAGAAAGCTTCCGGTTAAGCAGTGTGACGGAAGTCTAGTTAACCATAAAGAATGGCGATTGTCATTTTATTTACGCATTCTTTATTTTTCAGCATACTTAACGACCGATTTTTAGAACGCGACACAAACTTTAGTATTCTCAACAATTGAGGAAACTTTTAATTATATCATTGTGCAATGAATTTAAATTTTGTTATTCATTTCAAATAACAATATTTATAGTAAAAATCTTTAAAATTTAAATTAACCAAAAAATTCAATCTTTAATTTTATTCTCAAATAAATAAGTTGCTTCAATTTTATTAAAAATTTAATTATAATTAATAAAACACAAATTTATTTATCTCTTTATTTTTCTATTTATTTACTTAATTCATGAATAAAATTAAAAATAAGAATAAATGAAATCATTAATTTAATTCTATTTTAATTAAATTTTTAACATTTATATCACAAATATTAAATTTTTGAATGATATAAAGATTTCATTTAGTTATCAAATTAAAAACATAGGATCGAGTTTTCAATATTGACGACAATAATTTATTTCTTCGAACGATTTTCAACGGACGAAATGGTGCCGACGATGCCGCCTGATTCGCATAAAATTTCATTGAAGATTATTGAAGCGATAAAACAACATCCAGTTTTATATAGTGCTGAAGTAAAAGGTTCTTCTATTAAGCTTCAAGAATTTCGACAGAAGGTTTGGAAAAGGATTTCGGATGAACTTGGTCTTGATCGTACGAATTCGTTTTCTTCTTTGACCTTTTTCGGATAATTTTAATGTTATTGTATGCTATCGTTTTATCACTAAAATGTTTAATTTAATTTTTATATATTATTTTCAAATTTATTTCAATAAAAATATTTTTATGTAATTTTATTTTATAAATGTCATAAAAATTGAAATAATATAATGAAATTTAAATATTTCTTTATAAAAACGTAAATATAAAGTTATATACGATATTTACTGTTAAGAAAAAAAATTTATTTAATAATAATAATATTTATTTATTAAAAGATAATTATAATTATTCACTATGCAAAAATATTGTTTTATCTTTATGAGATTTATTTTAAAATTTATAAGGAAATATATATTTATAAATTTAGGATATTTTTTATATTTTTTACAATTAAGATCTTTTGATTTTATATTACATAAATTTTAAATTTTAAATTTATTACAACAGTACATAAATTTAAAAATTTAATATTAAAAAATAATATATAAATATAATTAATATAATATTTTCAGCTACATGGGTGAGATTAAGATGGAAAAATTTAAGAGATACTTACTGTCGTATACTTAAATATAAAAACAAAACAGAAAAAGGAGTTCGTAGGAAAAAATGGATTTTTGAAGATCATCTTAGTTTTCTGAAATTTCCGTAAGAAAATTATATAATATTTTAATAACTTAGTATTTAATAATGATAATTTTGTTAAAGTTATGTAATATATATAATGTTCAATATATTAGTTATTAATATTATATTATAATTTGATATATAATATAAATATTTATTTAGATATGAATCAGATTATCAACCTCAAAGTATAGAATTAACTGAAGATTACATTCAGGATATAAATGCAGGTGGTATAAGCTCTGAAGGTCTTTTAGAACAATTAGAAGATCGAAATGATGAAGATTATAGTGAATATTTGGAGGTTCTAGAAGAAACAACTGCAGATCCAATTTTAGAACATGATTCAATAGAATTAAATGATCATAATGATAATGCAGTGAAAAATGTGGAAGTAGAAAATACAATGCAACATGATATTGATTCATATGCTCAACAAATTCAATCAAAATATAGAAAAATAAGACCAAAGAAAATGAAAATCGAATCATTAGATGTGCCTACAACTTACAGTATTTTAAAAACTTCACCTTTTAAAAATAAAACAGTTGATACATCAATTTTTGTTACTGCACCAACTACAAATAATTCTACAAAAAATTCTTCTAAAATAGAAGTAAGATGTAATTACCATTGTTTTTAATTAAAGTTACTTCTTATTTTGTTTAATTTCATAAATACATATTATAGGATACACAGAACAATTATGATCAAGTTTATTTAGCTCCTGAAGGAAAAAGTAGTATAGAACTTTTTTTTGATAGTATGGCACAAACTGTTAAACGACTCCCTCCAAAAGCTCAAGCAGATATTAAAATGAATATTTGTAAAATTGTAACAGAAGCAGAACTAAGGTATTCTGGACGTAATACACCTCAGAGTACTCAACAATTTATAGCTCCACCTGGAATGATTCCTAAATTAGTTCTCATTCCATGTAATATGATTGATGGGCAAAATAACAAAGGTTAATTTTTTATGACAATGATTTCTATCTGATGAAAGAATTATTGTGATTTATTGTAATATAAAATTCGTTTATCTTACTATAAAAAATTACTATAAAAATGAAAAATATTAAGCTAAAGAAATAGTTCAAATAAAAATGATTTTTCTATTTAATGTTGTGTTTTATCTTTTTATAATAAATAGAAAAAAGAATGTATATAAATAATATCGTTATATTTTAAGCTGTTGTTATATAAATATAGTTATTTTAATAGAATTATTGTTGTTTTAATATATTTATTTATACCCAATCAAATTATTTTTCTTAATAAAAATATTTTAATAAATCATCAAAGACAAATATATTTATTAATTTAATTATTTAAATGAAATCTTTAAATTATTAAGATAATTTAATATAATATGTTCAAATAATTAAAAAATTAATTATGTTACATAAAAAGAAATCTAAGAGATCTTTTATGATAATATTTTTATGATTATTATGAAAATTTATAAGTTATTTTCAAGTCATGTCATCTATTAATCAATGTGTAATTTTTTGTTTTTGAAAAATAATATGGTAATCAATTTATAGAAAATATTTTTAATTTAATATAGATTTCATACATATTAACTTTTTGAAAAATTTTTTATATATATTTAATTACAATTATTTGTGTTTATTATATATTTCCGTATGAACATTTTATTTTATATTTACAACATTATATTTGTGAAAAATTATAATATATTCAACATATGTAATAATATAATAACAATAATATATATAATAATATAATAATTTAACATATCTAAAATTATTTATTGAATTATATTAAAAACAACAATATATATAAAATTTACATAAAACATATTTATTTGTAAGTTTCAAATTATTTTATTATTAAATTTATAATTCTACAATTCATTATTATTGATATATTTTAAAATAAAGATTTTAGATATATATCCACTATTATATAATAGAATAATAATTTTTAAATTTTTTATTTATTTTTTTAATTTCTTTTATTTATATATTCTGAGAGATATACTCAAAATAATTATTTCTTTTATAAATAACTTATTCTATTTTTCAATAAATATTGCTACTGCATTAAAAATTTTATTTTTGAAATTGCAATATATATATCAAGGTTATTTATTGTTGTATTTTGTTTATATACAATAAAAAGAATAGATCTTTATTTGTTATTTTTATCCATTATCATTTTATCCAACTTTAGAAAATATACTTAAAAAGTAATATTTTTTTCATTTTGTGATTATTTTATTTTTATGATTATGTTATATGTATAATCAATATTTATTTTATGATGAGTAATATATAATATAAAGATAAATGGTTTGTTAAAAAATTCTTAAATTTTTTGATAATAAATTATCTATATAATATAATAGAGAATTTATTTATATAATATATAAATGATTATAATAATGATAATAATATAAATATATAATACAATATCTCAAATATAAAAACATTTATCAGATTTGTTTTAAGGAAAGACAATTAAGAAAGAGCTATTATTTTGAATAATTTCTTTATTCTAAAGAATATTATACTTATTCTAAAATATAAAAGTAATGAAATTCAAAAAAATTTATGAAAAATAAAGAATTATTGTCCTAATCTAGTTACATATGTATATAAAATCTTAAATCAATAACAAATGAATCAAAATTTGCATATATGTATGATTTGCATATATGCATATTTAATATGCATTTCTTCGTTAAAAATGTTCTGACAAACATGCTGATAAAGTTGTTTATATAATTTGTATGTGTAATCATTAATTTTTTATAAGAATTATGAATATAATAAATTATATAGAATATTTAAATTATTATGAGGCATAATTTTTAAATTATTTTATTAATAATTTTTTTGTTTTATAATTATAAATTTATTTCCATAAGTTTAAAAAATTTTCTGAATTATTATAATATGACACATATATTCAAGAAATATTTAAATCTCATTAATTATATATCATATTGTTTAAAAAAATATTAAAAAATAATTTTATTTTTTGGTTTAAAAATTTATGTATTACATAATTATTTTATAAATAATTTTGTTATTTATCATAATTTAATTTTATTATTTTATTAGCATATTTACTCTACATTAAAATCATAATTTATATTGTATAATTTATATTCATAATTTACATTTATATTATCACTTTATAATTAAAATTATATTTTAATAAAATATGCATTTATAATGTATAATACTTTAAATATTAAATCAAATTACATTTAATAATAATATATATGCATGTGTGTGTGTGTGTGTGTATATATATATATATATATATATATATATATATAAATTGATAAAACGAACTTCAATAAGGAAGATATTGTTTTAAAAACAGAAACATTTAATGTTAATCTAATCTTTTTCATGCAACCACAATATTTTAGAAAAAAGTTATCAAATTTTTAAATGTTCATCATAACATTATTATTTCTGCAAAATTTTATATAATGTTATAACATTATATAATTATTTAACGAACATCAGAAAATTTTAATTTCAATTCAGTATATGCAGAGTTTGAACAATTATAAAAATGTTGCGTTTTCTTTTAAAAAAAGATTATAATTTTCTACAAAAATGTGTATTTTTTCAATTAAGAAGAAATTTGACTAATAAGGTAATCGCAGAAAAATTAATATTGAGGTTAAGATCTAATATTAATAAATAATTGTTTAAGTAATTTATTTCATTTTGTTTAATTTATTTTTTCTTTCTTTTATTAATCTATTATGTTTATTGTATTTATTTATTTTTATTTATTATTTATATTATTATTTTTAATTTGTTCTACATCTTGAAATATATGAATAATTTAAGTATTAATTGAAGTATTAATTAATTAATTTATTTTTATTGTAAGATTTTATTTAATAAAATTTAAAATTTATTATATTTATAAAAATATTAATATTTTTATTATAATAATAATAAAATAAGAAATAATATTTATTATTATTATATTATTATTATTATTATTATATATATTATTATTATAATTTTTATTATTTATAATTTATTAAAAAATATTTATATATTTATATTTATATGTAGTTATGACTTATTATATATATATTTACATTATATATGTGTATATATATATATATATTATATTATATATTTTTATATTTGTCCTAAAAATTGTTAATCATTTATTATTTAATAATAATAAATATAATTTTAATGTTGATTGTTTTTATTCTAAAAAATTAGTATAAATTTGATATATCTAGTTATTATTATAAGAATTATTTGATTTTTATAAATTGTTTTTATAGCTTGTTTAATAAGTGATAATATTATATTATTTTCTTATTCTCTATTTATTTTTTAAAGAAATAGATAATGAAAATTTTTTATTAAGGATTTATTAAGAATAGAATAGAAATAATTTTAAAATATTATAATTAAAAAGCTTAAAATTAAAAAGAAGAATCATAATTTTATTACCTAATTTATTTAAATATTAAGATAAATAATTATTATTTTATTGCTTATATATATCTCATTTTATTTAAGATATTCATTTAATTTATCTTATAATTATTTATCTAATAATAATATCTTATTGACGAATAAGAGATTTTATTTAAGATATATCTATATTTTACAAAAGATTTATTTTATATAAGTCTTATTCATTCATTTACCTATACTTTCTGAAGTACAATATTATAAATTATTATTGGTATAGATAGTCTAAATATATAACTGATCTTTTTTATAAAGAGTAAAAATTATAGTAAATAAAAATCATATTAAAATCCATATTTATGAACTTATTATATACAAATATAATAAAAAGATAATAAAATTTTATTATTATTTAGTAAATCAATTAAAATTGTTACATATAATACATATAATAGTTCAATATATTTTATTTATCAAAAAATTAATTTCATTAAATTTTCATTACAAAACGAATATTATCTTTATCTATTTTTTTTAATAATTTAATAAAATTTGTTTAAAGCTTATTTCTAGGTTTTTATCAGTATTTATTTTTTCATTAATAATTAATTTTAATAATTTTAAATAATCATTTTGCTAATGAATCTGTGATTTTGTTTTCTGCTCACGGATCTGAATGAATTTGAATTAGATAATTTTGAATAACTTTTCCTTTTATATGCATCAATTTACATGTCATTTTTACTTTTTAAATTATTCATAAAAAACTCATTTAGATCCATGAAATATAAAACATTTAGATAACTGGAATTACAATAAACAATACAACATCAACCATAAAGTGATTAAGTTTCTCTCTCTCTCTTTCTCTCTATATATTCTTTATATATATATATCTGTATACATGTCACAAAGAAAATTTTAACTCTCATTCATTCCTTATTTTTAACTTAATTTATTCTTCAGTATTTTTTTATTTTGAATATTAAATTGACATAATCGTAAAGAGTCAATGTTATGAAATGAAAAGATAAATAATTAATTTTGCTAATTATTTTATTGAAAATAAAAAATAAAAGATGAAAAAAATTGTAAAATTGTAAAAAATTGATGATTTTTAAACATGTTGTAAAAATTAACATTTTGAATAATTTTTATATATATATATATATATATATATATATATAATAGATCTAATAATAATTTTTTATTTATTATTATTATTATTTATATTATATATTCAAATTCAAGAAATTACTATTACATAACTATTACAGTAGCTTATATGTATATATCCGTGATAAAATATGCAACGTATTTTTTGTTAAGCATACACATAACGGATGAATCTATCAAAAAGTTATTTGAATTGTTAAGTTGTTAACTGTTGAAAAGTTATTTGAAAGTGATAGATTTGAAATATTTCAATGCCAATTCATATCAAATTTTCTGTGAAAATTATTTTAATATCTATCCATAAAGAGCTTAGATAATGCGAAAATAAATTAGAAAACAACTTTTGAGTAATTGAACTTACAATAAAGTTATAATAGTAAGTTAAATAGTATTTAATAATATTAATTTTATATTTAATATAAGATATAACATTATATCGAAATTGAAAAGAGATAGTTTTTCTGCAATTTCACCTATCAATCATTATAATTTCGAATGCTTAAAAGTTTCGCATTTTGCTAATCCAACTTTTCTATAGATAAATAATAAAAATATATGAAATATAAAAGTGATAATATTAGTTTAACTATTATACATTTTAGATACCAATCATAATATAATTATAAAATATAATATAATATAATTATAAAATTTCTGCAAAAAGTTTTTGATCATTTTTTAAAATACAATAACTATTTTAAAAAATTTTGATTTAAACCATTTTTCTTAAGAAATTAGAAAGATTAAGTTTGCTAGATAATGCGTAAAAAAATTTTTGAAAAAAATTCAGTTGATCGAAATCATAGAAGAAAATAATAAAGATTTATTTCAGTTTTTATATTTATGCTGAAAATTTCATCGAAATTCATTGATACAAAAACAAGTATAGAAAGAATCTATTAATTTTATTTTCTGCCAAAGGTTATATAAATGATAAGTGATAATCGCATGCTGACATATATTTTGTCATATACGTATAAGTCAAATTCTATATATTAGTAATAATATTTTTTTATAAATATTTCGAAAATTAAACTGATTGTTAGTTTTACATATATATAGAAAAACAGATGTATAGAAAAAAAATTGTTGAAAATCTTTTCTATATATTTAAAAATGATTGAAGTCGAGAATTTTTGCTGAGATTGCTAGCTTTTCTATATTTTGAAATAAATATTCATTATAAAATGTTTATATTAGATTTCATTGATTATATTCAATTGAGATATTCATTGACTATATTCATTAATTATGTTCAATTTCGCATTACTTTGATCTTATCGTTTATTTTTTGCAACAAAAAGAAAAACAAAGAAAATAATTCAAAACTATGCATGTCTAATTGCAAAAATAAAAAGATTATTAAATGTGTAATTGTCATACAATAATTTAAAAGTATGATTATCAATTACAATGAATTGTAATAGCCATTAAAGAACTTGATAAAACACTGAAAATTATGTATTAAATTAACAAAAACATAAATTAACACAAATATATATATATTTCCAATTAAAAAAAAAAAAAAGTTTCAATTTTTTTATAGATATGAAATAACATTATTTTTTATATAAAAAAAATATGTCTAATTGAGATATCAATTATATAAATTATATAAATTATATAAATTATATCATATAGAAATAAAATACAAATAAAAGTTAAAAAATGCAAATTTGATAGCAATAGTTTTATAATAAATATTGTTATTAAATCATAAGATAATTTATTTTAATAAAACTATTTTAATATTTTTTACATTTATAACAAATATTAAAAATATTTTATATGATATTAAAAGACTAGTTTATTATTATAAAAAAAGAATATCTTTTTTGAAAAATTATTTTTTTCTAAAATTTTCAAAATCATCGATATTTTCTTATAAGTAGATATTTTTTTACTGCATCAAATAGGTATTAAATTATAGAGAAACATAGATGTATAATTAGAACCATTTTAATTACTCTATAAATAATGATTTTAATGAAAAATTAATGAAAAATTTTAGATAAAAGTTCAAAATCATTTTAAGAAGAATATAATAATTGAACGTATTTTTATAAATTTATATGTTTAGAACATGTAAAAGTCAATTGATCTCCTAAATTATTATATGATCTAAATTCATTTAAATTATCGTATGAAAGATAAGAAATATATGAACAGAAAACTAAGAATATTTAAAAAAAACAAATTTTTCATGTTTTTTATACATTCATTAATACCTCTTTATTTGAGATATATGAAAAAAATACATATACTATAATATGAATTTTAATCATTTATTAAAAATAATCATAATTCAATCAATTTTCAATAAAAAAATTAAATTTTTTTATTTTTGCATTGATTTATTTTTTTCAACTTTCGTACTTGTTTCAATCTTTAAAATTATTCTTTATTTGTATACAGAAATAGATTTGTCATATTCGTTATTAAATATATTAGTTTTATAATTTTTTCAAGTAATATATTTTAACAATATATGATTAGATCAATCATTTATTACATTTTTTAAATTAATTTATTTATGATGTAATGAAAAATTCTACCAATCTAATACATTTTCTTTATTTGAAGTCTTGGAATTCATTTGACAAATTTTCCGGTTTTATTAATAATTCCGAAAATATGATTTTTTCTTAATGTAATAATTTAGCTGTGATATATCATCGTATTATAGTTATCAAAAAGATTCGATATTCTATATTATAGTGTTCATTATTCAACAATATTATTTTTTTGCAACAAAAAAAATTATTAAATCATCAACAATAATTAGTTAATAATTAAAAGAAGTAATCATAATTGTAATCAAAGATCATGATAGATTTAATAATTATTAATCATAAGATAATTATGATTGAATCATAATTTATTTGTAATAAGTAATGTATATATATTTTTTGAAAAATAGATGATATTTATTATTTATATAGTTTTGAAATATAGTTAAGTTAAAATAAATTGCTTATTTAATATGCAAATATAATTTGCTTTTAATATTATTTTTTCTTTAAATATTTTATTTAATATTTAATAATATATGCTTTTGTTACATTTATTACTTTATGATATATATTTCAACAGAAATTGAAAATAGCACGAGCATGTTATATAAAAGAAGAAAAACTTCTTTCATCAATGGATATTAATACTTAAATTTAATTGTTGAACAAATGTAAAATAAATGTATAAAATATTTTGAGTGACATTATTCTTAAAATTGAACATCTCATCATTATATGAAGCAATTTCCTGATTTTTCGGTGAGTTTTGAGTTAAAATTACTTTAATTACTATTGCTTCTTTGTATTCAATTTTCTCTTTCTTTCTTTCTTTCTCTTTTATTTCTTTTCTTTTAATTTTATATATGATAATTATAGATTACAAGATTATTTTCTGTGACGATTATTTAATTAATGATTATAATTATTATTATTATTTTCTTTTTAATAAAATAATTGATTATTGTGATTTTACGAGATCAAAGATATCTTTCTTAACTTTGACAATTTTCCATTTTTCGTTGTTGTTGTTTTTTTCTTTACAAATAAAAATAAAATATATTTTTTATCTGCAATTTTTTTTAATATATAATAAGAATATGTAATGTCTATTAATAAACTATTATTATTTTACTTTCAATCGAATATCTATTATAATAAATAATATCTATTATAATAATATATTATCTATTATAAATAAATATTTTTTATTTATATATTATTATTATTATTATTATTATATTATATTATATTATATATATAATAGCAATGATTTTAAAGATACATTAAGATATATAAAAAATGACATATCTTCAAGGTGAATCACAAGAAAACAACACCTAAATATCTTTGTTGGATTTAAAGATATGATACATTAGAATTAGAATAGTTTCGAAGGATGTACATTGGATGTACATCATAATATTATTTTTTTCGATATTTTCAAGATTATTAACGTTTTTTTAAATGGAATTGTATATTTTTTTCTCTTATATATTGTCAACATCTAAACAAGTTTAACCATGTAATACAATATGATACATCAAATGATCTTCAATCCAGAAAAATGGAATAAATAAAATTCAAACTTTTTAAAGTTCTGTTTGTTCGAGATTATAAAGTTCAAGAATTCAAAAGATTCTAAGATATAAAGTTCAGAAGTTTAACAAATTCTGATTTTGAAAGGATTCTAAGGTTCAAATAAGGTTCTGATTTTCAAGAAATTCTTCTAAAACGCTCGTACCTTCTAAAACCTTATACTCACCTCGCAAGATCGCGGATCTTCGGTAACGGTACTAAATTGTCAATAACAATATGGACCAATCTCTTAATTGGGATATCTTCATATCTAAGGAAAATTCCTAGAATTAAACTGGAGGGTTACACCATTCATAGAGTCTGCTGTTACTGTTACCAAAAAACTAATCCGCGAGTGTAATAATATATAATAATTCTTTTCAAGAAGAATGATGTTGATTGTCGAGATTGGCATAGCTGGAAAATGTCGTCTCAAATTCCAAGATATTCATACTCCATTTATATCGAAATGTTTCTAACAAATATATTCCAAATTCTTCTCTTAAAAAATGGTATTTTTGCAACATCACTGTTGTACCTGTGTTGTTCAATGTCTCAATACCTATCATTTAACTACAATATATTAATCAAATTTCAAAATGATTAAATTTGATTAATATATTAATCAAATTTCAAAAAATTAATCAAATTTAATTTAAATAAACAAAAATAAAAAATATAATCTAATAAAAAATATAATCTAATTATTTATCAAAGAAAGTTATTATACTTTTGTATAAAAACATTGCAAATAATATTATTAAAAATATAAAGCAATAATATATATTAAAAAGATATTGAAAATTTTTTTTCTTTTAAACTAATTTTTGAAGAATTTAATACAATGATTATTTCGGACATATTTAATATTTTTTAATTATTTAAAAAATCTTTTTGCTTGAATTATCTTGTTATTTTATTATAGTTTCATTATTTATTGTTTTATTAAAATTTGAATTGAAATAAAAAAAATTTGCTAATATTAAATTAAGAAAAAAAAAGAGAATAATAATAATGCATTATTATAAGAATTGTTATTTCAAATTTATCAATCACATCAATAATAGTTACAATGTCTTTAAAAACATAGAATAATATAGAATATAGAATAAAACATAGAATAATGACAAAAAAATATATTGTGAAGAATATATTACTTAAAATTTGAATCATAACATTATGTACATCATATGTAAAAACATTAATCACATTAAATAAAAAGTATATATATTAGAAAAAAAAAATAAAAACATTTTATCTTTTAACAATTTTCAATACAATCGTTATCGTTTTATATATTATGTAATTAGTTTTATTTTAATTAAATAAATATTATAATGTTTAAATAAATATTATAATTTTTTTTTACTTTATTATTTTATTAATTATATTCGTTATTGAGAAATAAATCATTTTAACAATCTTTTTTTTTTTAAAAAAGAAGATTGTAACTATTTTAATTAATAATAACTAATAAAAGAATTAAATAAACGATTCAAGTTTTAAATTATTTTTTTTTTTAAAATTTGAATAAAAATTTAAAGTCACAGTAAAATTTAGCAAATTTTGCTAGTATATAAATGATAGTTAATAAATCTAAAAATAGTAATTTTATATTGACATATATATTGTCTTGTACATTTATAAGTAAAATTCAAGGATTGGATATATTTGTAACCACCTATATATAATTAATGAAAATATAAAAAATCTATAATAATTAATCAATTTTAATAAAAAAAATCAGAAATTACATATAATGTATAAGTATAATAAATATATTGATGAATTTTTTTTTTTATATACATTTCTTATATATTTCTACTTATGTATTATTATTTATATATATTAGAATATATATATATATATATATATATATATATATCATAATATGAAATGATTAATCAAAGATTTCAATATTATTAAAAAAAAAGTTTTCAAATTTATGAATTTAAAATTAAGACAGTATTGTCATATATCACATAATACAAATTGTAATATATATAATGATATTATATGATATGATATTACAATGATATATTTATAAAATTTTGATTCTAGAACACAAATAAAAAACAAACAAAAAAAGTTCATAAAAACAAACATAAGAGATGTAATAGCTATAAAATTGTTTTATTCTATTTTCGTTTTGTCTCATCTTTTACAAATTTCAATTGCTTATAATTTAAATAAACTTTAATTAACATTTATATATATATATATTATATATATAATATATATACATACTATATTATATATATATATTTAACGTTCTATAGAAATATGATTAACATAAATAAAAAATATGATTATATATATTTTTATTAAAAAAATTATTTATAATTTTAATTGTTTCTTGAAATAATTTTATTTGTCATATAAAAATTCAATATAGTTATAATAAAAATATATTATATATTAAATATATTATATTATTTATATTTATTTATATTATTTTATATTATAAAATTAAAATAAAATTAAAATTTATATTAACTTTTATATAATTTTTCAGGATACATCTTCTGTAATTACACAAAAAGAAAAAGATTCTAATACTACAATAATAAAAAAATTAAAAAATAATTTGACATTGATAAAAGATTCTCTTGTTGTAAGAGATGTTGATGATATATTAGTAGAATGGATGGATCGACCACCAATACTTCCAGAAAATTGTGATGTTGTAATAATTGGAGGTGGAGTAATAGGCAGTTCTATAGCTTATTGGTTGAAACAACGAATTTATACAAGTGATTTTAAAGTTGTAGTTGTAGAAAAAGATCCTATGGTAAGTTTTTTTAGAAATGTTAATAATTTAATAATAATAATAATTATTAATTTAATAATAATTTAATAATAATAATTTTTTATTATTATAATATAATCTGAATAAACATAATGAACAAATATTAATAATATTAATGTTTTTTTAAAAAATATCAATAAAATTTAAATAATATTTTTTAATTTTATTTTTAGTATACCACAGCATCAACAGTTCTTTCTGCTGGAGGTTTACGTCAACAATTTTCTTTGAAAGAAAATATTGAAATGTCTCTTTTTGGTGCAGAATTTATACGCAATGTTAATGAATACTTAGGCATTGATGGAGAACCTAAAATTAATACATATTTTCATCCACATGGATATTTAATATTAGCATCTGAAAAAGGAGCTCAAACATTGATAAAAAATTCTAAATTACAAAATTTTCTTGGAGCAAAAAATATCTTATTATCATCTGCCAAATTAAAAGATATATTTCCTTGGTTAAATATAGAAGATGTTGAATTAGGTTGTTTAGGATTAGAAAAAGAAGGATGGTTTGATCCATGGGCTCTTCTTTCTGCTTTTAAAAAAAAAGCATTATTATTGGGAGCAAATTATATTTGTGGAGAAGCACAAGGATTTATCTATAAAGATGACAAAGATGAAGAAATAGATAAATTAATTGTAAGATTTTCAAATTTAATTTTCTTAGAATATTATATTAATAATATTACTATTAAATATTAAATTTATTATATGAATACATTTTTCTTATTTTTAATATTTATTATTATTCTTGTATTATATACAGATTATTAATATATTCGTAGAATATTTAAAGAGTCAATAAAGATAAAATAAATATAAATTTATAAAGATGTATACAAAAATATTGATTAAAATTGAAGTTTGTGTTAAATGAAGCAAGATAGAAAAAGAGTGAAAGTCTTTGTTATACAGTTGTTTTCTGTTTTTCTCATCTCGCCTATTAATCCAATGCGAATTTAAATTGTTTATAATTTAATAAATAATCTTCCAATCAATATTTTTATATATCAATTTTTGTATTTGTTTTAATTTCTAGAATAGATTTTTCAAAAGTGTTCTGCTATAAATATATTAATATTTTCAATAACTTCATTAGTTTAATTAGATTTTCTATTTAATTTGATAATTTTAAATAATTCAAAGATTATTTATATATGGAACAATATATGAAACAAAAATTAAACAATGTTAAGAAAATAGATGTTATTAGTTTTTCTGAAAATATATTCATTGAGAAATACTTAATAGCATAAAATTAAAAATATTTTAATATATTATTTCACAATTTATACTTCTTATAAAAATATATTCAATTTTAAAATTAGTTTAAAATTTATTCAGTTTTCATTTTAAATAGAATATTGAAGTTGATAAGTTTGTTAAATAGAAGTTTTGAAATTATCAAGCTGAACAATGCAAACTAAATATAAATTTTTCTTAATAAAAAAAATTGGAGGAAGAAGAAAAGAAGAAAAGAAAGAAACAGAGAAAAAAGAAATAAAAGAGAAAAAAGAATTGATAAATTTCAAACTAATGTAAAATTTATTTATTCATTATAAGAAAAATTTTGTTTCTATATATTAAATAAAATTTAATGTAATTCTTTTAATATTATTAGATTGAATCTAAAATAATTTTATTATGATAATCAAATACAAATAAATAATCAATATAAATAGAATTATGATGACTTTCAATTTTATTAGATCTAATAATTTTCTTTGATTTTCTCAAGATTTATTTATAAAAATAGTAGATTTGTATTGTATTAAAAATGTAAAAAAAATTAATTTATTATATTAAATAATAAGAAAATTTATAAAAATTTCAAATTTTATGATAATCCTGATAATATTGAGGATGATAAAAAATCAATATAAAGTAAAGAAAAATAATATAAAGTTTTTTATTTAGTAATTTAATTTATGGCAGAATTAATATTGTTTTTATATATTTGCGGAAGGAAAATATATAGAAATTAATTCTACAGATACAAGAATCTTCTTTTTGAAGCAAATTATCATTATTTAAAGAATAACTGTAATATATGGAAAAAATTTTGAAAATGGTTGTACGTGGAAGTTGTAGGAAATAACAATATATAAATATACATATTAGAATTCATATTTTTTTTTGAAATCGCTAAATATTCGCTCTGGAATAAATATTAAATGATCAATCATAGTCTTTTTATCAGAAGGCATATTTATCTTCTCCTTTGTGGCCAAATCTTCTAAATCATTATATGAAACAATAATTGAACAATGTTAAGAAAATAGATGTTATTAGTTTTTCTGAAAATATATTCATTGAGAAATACTTAAAAGGATAAAATTAAAAATATTTTAATATATTTTTTCACAATTTAATTATCATAATTATCATAATATTGGCAACATAAAGTCGGTCTATTTATTATTCTCAATTGTAATTTATTTATTTTTTATTAGAATATTAATTGATAGTTGTAAAGTTTCAAATTTTGTGATTATTTGCCAAGAGTTCTTTTTTACTTGCAATTATATCTAGTCATCTTAATCATAATTTGTTTAATGGCAAATTAATAGCAGATCTTTTAAAATTATTAACATCACATATGTAGAGATCATTCAAAACTTAAAAAAAAACAGAATATCTTAGAGTAAACATTTTAAACACTTTAGTAATATAAAAAGATTTCAGATTTATATTTGATCAGCGTGATACTAAAAAAGTAAAAAAATTTATCATTTTATATAAATATCACTGTTTAATAATTATTTTTCTTCACTTTTTTTATATTTACATAAATATTCTAGAACCATATATAAATCTATTTAAAAAAAAGATTTTTTTAAAATAATATAAATTTTAGTAATTTACACATATTATTATTATTATATATTTTAGATAAAAACTAAAGAAGGTGAAATACATAATATAAAATTTTCAATTGCTATTGTGGCTGCTGGTGCCTTTAGTGGAAAAGTTGCAAAAATGGCTAAACTTGGTACAGGAAATGGATTACTACAAATAAGTTTACCTGTTGAACCAAGGTTATCATTTTGTATTATTAAATATCTTAAATAAATATAAAATTTAAATTTATATTAATATTATTACTTATTAATGTAATCTTAACGTAAAAATTATTGTCATAGGAAAAGATATGTTTATTGTTTTCACTGTCCTGATGGACCAGGTTTAAATACACCATTAACAATAGATTATTCTGGAACATATTTCAGGTAAATATTTATAAAATTTATAAAATAGAAAGTTGTTCTTATAAATTATAAATTTATAAATATTATTTTAATATTTTAATATTTTAAAATCGAATATATTTTATTATTATTAATTAAGTATTAATATTTATTCTAGAAGAGAAGGTCTAGCAGGTAGTTTCATTTGTGGAAGATCTCCAGAGGAATCTGAAGAACCTACTATTGAAGATTTAAGTGTTGACTATGATTATTTTGATGAAAAAGTCTGGCCTATACTTGCACAAAGAGTTCCAGTTTTTGAAAAATTAAAGGTATTTTTTTAAATTATTTATAAATTATTTTAAAGGTATATTTTTAAATTATAAATTTAAAAAATATAAAATAATATAGAAAATATTATATAATTATATTTTTTATAGAAATAATAGTCAAAAATGAAATATATTAAAAATACTGAATTAAACGCTTATAATTTAATTTTTATTTCTATAAAAAAAAAATTTGAAAATTTTCTTGATATTAATTGGAAATTAATATCAAGAATTTTCTTAAATCCTTATTACATATTCTTAATATACAATTAAATTTGTTTATATACAATTTAATGAAATAAATATATGCATGATTAAGACATTTTATTAAGATTAATATTATCAAAATTCTCAACAATAATTTGATAATTTGCAAATTTTATACTAAAGGAAATATATAATATTTCTATATTAATAAAAAATTTTATATTTATATTAATATTATAATTATATTAATATTAATATAATTATATTAATATATTAATATTTATATTATATTTTATATTTTTTATATTATATGAATATATTATTATATATATATTAAAATTATTGATATTTTTATATAATTATTATTAAAAAAATTTGGATTAATAGATTAATATAGAAATAACATATGAATCTGTTATATTTAAAATTATTAATTTTATATTACAAGATATAGGAACATATATTTGTATTTATTGTATTTACTATTCCAGTTAAAATCTTCTTGGGCAGGTTATTATGAATACAATACATTTGATCAAAATGGAATAATTGGAAGACATCCATTTTATCAAAATTTACTTTTTGCGACTGGATTTAGTGGACATGGAATTCAACAAGCACCTGCTGTAGGTAGAGCAGTTTCAGAATTAATTATTGATGGTGAATACACAACAATTGATTTATCAAATCTTAGCTTTGATAGAATTATTAAATGTACACCCACATATGAAGCAAATATTATTTGAAATATGCTTTTAATTTTAGAAAATTAATTATATAATAATAATTCTAAATATAAACAATATTTTATATATTTTATATATACATATTTTAGAAGAATTATAGAAAAATAAATATTTTATATATATTATATGCATATATAACTAATATAAATATAAATTATGTTTTGTTCAAAATTTAAAATTTATTTAAAATACAATATATAGATATTGTTTTATATATATATATATATAATACAA